TTACCGTAATATTGTGTAAAAAAATATATGGTAAAATAGATTTTGAACAAAAATTAAATAAAGTTATTTTGGCGTCTCATAATGAGGATGTGACAAATCTCGATAGCACAATATTACACATGATGCCATCGATGTCAGTGCATGGTGAGTGATAAGGGTTTCCTATAAACGGATCGTGCCTTGCGTGAGTGGTAGACCGTCCTATAAACGGATCGTATCAGCGAATGTGTGATGCAGTAAGTGCATCAAATGCTCGGCTGCCCGGCGAACCCCTGTGTGATCGTTGTCATCGGCTAATGATAATTTGAATATAGGGAAGAATCGGATTGTCGTATTTATGTTTTTCATGCGAGTGCGACGATCGAAGGAAAGAAGACCGTTGGCAGCTTGTCAACACGTCGTGTAAGAAAGGACAAGTCAGTTGCCTACGAATCGGCAAGGTCTCACGATCGTACATTGTACGCGAGTATATCGACTTTATGTAAGTCGTGTGTGAGACTGCGCAGTGTGTTAGAGTACGCATTGTGTGAGAGTACGCAGTGTGTGTGAATACGCAGTGTGTGTGAGCGCGACATCAAGGGTGATTACAGAGAAGTAGGAGGGAGGGTGAATGATAGGCCGTCCTATGAACGAATTGTGCATTGATTGAATGGTATTCCATCCTATATAGAGATCGTGTCAGTGCATGGTGGACCGTCTGATAAACGGATATTGTCAGTGCATAATGAGTGATGAAGCCTTCCTATAAACGGATCGTGCCTTGCGTGAATGGTAGACCGTCCTATATACGGATAGTGTCAGTGTATGGTAGACCATCCTATAAACGGATCGTGTCAGTGAATGGTAGACGATCCTATAAACGGATCGTATCAGTGAATGGTAAATCCGCTACACCGGTCCAATGTCCGGAGCTCAGTCTCGCAGAGACAGAAAAGGAGGAGGCAGAGTGAATGGTAGACCATCCTATCAACGGATAGTGTCAGTGAATGGGAGACAATCCTATAAACGGATCGTGCCTTGTGTGAATGATAGACCATCCTATGAACGGATCGTTTCAGTAGATGGTAGACCATCCTATAAACGGATCGTGTCAGTGAATGGTAACTTCACTACGCCGGTCCCATGCCTGGGGCTCACAAGGAGAGCTCTCTAAGTCCGGGTCACCGAATGCCCTGAAAATTTTTTTGTGATCTCCTTGTACATGATGATGATCCCCCATACAGTTAGTTTGATCCAATGGGCCCTATAACAATACTTTTACGCATGGTCAAGATTTGAATATTATTTAACGATAACAAATACCATTTAATAGCCTATCTGGTATCAGGCTTAAAACAGTCAATTCCAACTGACTGAACAGCATTGTTACTTTGTATTTTTCAAGTTTTTAAACACTTATTCAAAAAATAAACACTGTAGCTCAATTGGTATACTATGCAAGTCACAAAGAGCTGACCAATTTGAGCTAAAATTAAAGTTCTTTACTATAAGCATTGATGCAAAAGATTGAAATAAAACTTTTATATTATTAAACTCTCTGTTCCTACCAATTGAGATACAGTGTTTATTTTTTGAATAAGTGATTAAAAACTTGAAAAACACAAAGTAACAATTACGTCGAGTAATTGTTACTTACACAGTAAGTTACGTCGAGAGGCCCGTAGCGCGGACTTGCCACTCCTCTCCTTTTTTTTGCGCACTTCGCCTGACCAACGTACGCGACGCAACGCATCGCACGAGCGAGATAGATATTGACTGGTCGTTGTAGTGAGCGGAGCTGTTAGCCCGACTCCGAACTTGTATCGCGTCGATGGCAAGTTGCCTATACTCTAATACTTAATATATATTTAACAATTAATAATTATAATAAACCTCTTTTTAAATACACAAACTGTGACAAGTCATTTTCGGGCATGCTCAGCTCCAACGTCCTTGTAACTCCAACACAATGCTGTTCAGTCAGTTGGAATTGACTGTTTTAAGCCTGATACCAGATAGGCTATTATATTGTATTTATTATCGTTAAATAATATTCAAATCTTGACCATGCATAGAAGTATTGTTATAGGGCCCATGGGATCAAACCAACTGTATGGGGGATCATCATCATGTACTAGGAGATCACAAAAAAATTTTCAGGGCATTCGGTGACCCGGACTTGGAGAGCTCTTCTTGTCAGTCTCGTAGAGAGAAGGAGGGAGAGTAAATGATGGGCCGTGCCATAAAGGAATTGGACATTGATTGAATGGTATATTCCATCTTATAAACGGATCGTGTCAGTGAAAGGTAGACTATTCTATAAACGGATTGTGTCAGTGCATGATGGACCGTCCTATAGACGGATAGTGTCAGTGAATGGTGTGTGATAAGGCCTTCCTATGGACGAATAGTGAATGGTAGACCCTCCTATCAACGAATCGTGTCAGTGAATGGTAGACCATCCTATGAACGGATCATGTCAGTGATTGTTAGACCATCCTATAAACGGATCGTGTCAGCGAATGGTAACTCTACTACGCTGGTCCCAAGCCCGGAGCCTAGTCTCGCAGAGACAGAGAACGAGAGGGAAGAGTTAATGATAGGCCGTTCTATAAAATTGTGCCTTGATTGAATGGTATATTTCATCCTATAAACGGATCGTGCCAGTGCATGGTGGACTGTCGTATAAACGGATTGTGACAGTGAATGTTATGCAATAACACACATTGACCGTTTTTACGACAAATGTGCCAACACCCGCGTAAAAAAAATTCACGTTTCGCGAAACTTTTGCGAAACTTAAAATCCGCAAGTTGATCTAAACTTCATATGAACTTTGGGCCATGAGACTCGCCAAACTTTGATTTCGGTGACTTCTAGTAGTGCAAGTTTGGCGAAACTTTCGCGATAGTTTCGCGAAAGTTTAATTTTCATTTCAAGCATTAATGAATAATAAAAAAAATTATTCATTTCTTAGCTTCCAGTGTAGGCTTAATGAAGAATTAGATAATCGATTAAAACTTCGCAGGCATTTAAAAGATTTTTTTGTGTTAAAGATTTTTTTGAGAGAGTCCGCGGGTAGGATTTGAACCTGGGTCCTTGAGAGTGGGAGTCGTGAACGGTACCAATTGAGCCATGTGCGTAATTTACGTCGGACACAAAAATAAGATATTTATGAAAAAGTTATTATTGAAGCTGAAAACCAATAAAAAGCCAAATCAGACATTCATTAATTGTAATTTATAGTAATTTTTTAGTTTTTTATAAATATTTACGATTTTTCATATAAACAATTTTTGTTCGGGACATGCTACACTACTCAACAAAAGTATTGAAAAAAAAGTTTCATCAAAATGTTGTCAATTTTCAAATGCTTCTATCTATCTTTGTCTATATTCATCGTATCGAGACGAACTTTTTTTTGATTTCTTGGAAAAAAGTTCCAAGTTACAAAAAGCAAAGTTTAGCGAGTTGTATGAACGAAAGTTCGTACGAAGTGTATATTAACTGTGCGGAATGCAGAAATTTACGCAAAATGTACATTAAGTTTCGCGAAACTTTTGCTATCAATGGCTCTACGAAGATGTTAGTTTGGTGAGTCGTTTGGGCCAAGGTTTCTACAAAGTTTATATGAGTTTTACGGAATGTTTCGCAAAACTTATGCGAAACTTTCGCCAAACTTGCACAATCAATGAGTCCATGAAAACGTAAGTTTGGCAGAGTCTCACGGGCCAAAGTTCATATGAAGTTCATATAAATTCGGCAAAATCGCCAAACTTAAAAAAAGTGTCGCGAAACCTAAATTTTTTTACGCGGGCATGCTCAGGAAATACAAAATCACGGTCATTTTGACCAAAAGCGAATCACTCACTTCGCTCATTACACTAGGAAATCGAAGGACACAAGATAGATTGGGCAAATAAGCAAATTTTAGACCAAAAGCCGAGCTGCCAACGTAGAATCATACCGAAAACGATGTTTATTAATGACACGTGCCACACACTTAATAAAAAAGAAGACCTTAAAGATTTAAACAATCTTTATTTTAACATTTTATTTTAAAATATATTAAGGGGTGTCATACACCAATTCACTCCTCTTTGTCATTTTTTTTATATAAACCACAGTTTCTATAAATTTACGTAAATATAACTACAAATTGATCAATGTTTAACGAAAATATTTTGAATAAAGGAGTTTTTACATTTACTAGCAACTTTCAGGCGCGCTTCGCGCGTGTACATTTTCCAGTCAGTTTCGAAAAAGTTGCTATTTTGACTGTAGATGTCACTTTATTACGTTTCCACTCGAGTCAAAAGTCAGTCGACTAATCAGAGGCCGAATAGATTGGCTTCACTTTCAGGTCCATCATTATTTTAAGTGAGGAATCAATCAAATCAAATCAAATTCGTTGGTGAAGGACGGTAATATGTCGAGGCCGCGGAGCGGCCTTGGTAGTACCGACCAAATCTTAAGCTTAAAATTATTAAAATTAAATTGAAAATTCGAATTAAATTTCAATTTGTTTCGAAACAAAGATAATATAAGTAGAGACCGCGCAAGCGGCCTCGGTATTTATCGAAGAAATCACAATTATTCGGAAAGTATTGACTACAGAATAAATCGAAAAATCAGTTTTATTGAAATCGATTAAAATTACAATAGAAAACAAAATCAGCTGTATAAGAACAGCTGTAAGACGTGTAACGTCTTTATGAATATTAAAAATAAAATTGAACATTAAATAATTTAAATGATCGATCTAAAATTCTAGCAATTAAATCAAAAGAAAATCCGAGTAATTCGATTTAAAAAATTCAAGTAAATCAATTTACAATAGAAAAAAAGCGCTGCAAGATAAGTAACTGAAGTCACATTTAAAGGTAAAAAATTATCTTCTGGTTTACATTCTGGTGTCTGAGCATATTACACAAAAATCACCAACGTCAAATACTTTTTCGTTTCATTTGATTTATTTTATTTATTCATTTTTTAAATTTTTTACCTTTAAATGTGACTTTAGTTGCTCATCTTGCAGCGCTTTTTTTCTATCGTAAATTGATTTACTTGAATTTTTTAAATCGAATTACTCGAATTTTGTTTTAATTTAATTGCTAGAATTGTAGATCAAATTACTTAAATTGTTTAATGTTCAATTCTATATTTAATATTCATAAAGACGTTACACATTTTACAGCTGTTCTTATAGAGCTGATTTTGTTTCCTATTGTTTTGATTTTAAAATGTTTTTTAGTTTGAATATTTCATCGATGCGTCTTGCAGGCCGGATCGTTGTGTCCAGGCGCGTTAAGTCGGAGCGCGGAATTGGCAGGTTGCCTTGGCGTAGGCTATTCGTCGTAGGATGTTACAATATCATTTGAAAGCAAATAAGATTTCCCATAACATGTATTAATTTCATTGATTTGTAAAGTGATTTGAGCTCACAGTACACTAAAAACTACCACTTCCCATACAATTCAATGTTAAAACTTTTAATTTCATTATTTTCCAACTTAGCATGAAAACCCCAAATTTTTTTCACCAAAAATCTTGTAATTTCAAAAACTTTCATCTGTCAAAGTTTCACTCCGATCTAAAGTTTTTTTCATTTTTGATACAGCCTTCTTAATATGGAAACTATATTTTTACAAGACAGCCTATATGAAAATTTTAATAAGTTTTGCAGCTACTTTTTCCATCATTTTAAATTTAAATCACCTTGTAAAGTCTAAACATTCATTTAACAATAAAACGTGCTCATATTATACAACAACGATCTATAACTCTCAGAAAAAAGGCCAGTCATTAAGCTACAACGGTAAATAAAAATTCGGTAAAATACTTGGTGTATTTGAGCATTATCTTAGCAAGCGAGCGGTAACTCGCAAAAAAAGGCGAATTTGTCGGTACAATCGACGTCGTCAAGGCCACCCTGATTAATAAGAGCCCCGCAGTGCTGGCGATTATCACGATTGTCTGGTTGTCCGTTCCAGTAAGTCAATGACCAGCCTGCGTAGCCAGTCGAAGCAAGCGGCTCGCCGAATATTGTGACCCAGTCAGCCTCCTTATACAAGTCGTGAATGCCGAGCAGCGCCTCTTCGCCATTCGTGCTGCCTCTGACCAAACTCTCCGATTTCCGCATCATGTCCAATAATTTCTGTAATACATACGCCCCAAAATATTACCAGAAACAAAAGTGATCAAAAGTAAATAATGTATTTCGCCATCAATATGAGCTTCACTCACAGCCTCCTCAGCTTTGGAATTAATAATGGCCAGGTGAGCGCCCTCGTCGTAGCAGATTCTGCGAGCCTCGTTCCACGGTTTCGCTTCAGTGTGAAAGCGATGCGATCCAATACCCGGAGTATAGACGTAATCTTCCTTATGGAGATCAGCCGCGGGAGATGTTTGGCACTGGCAGCTTACTCCCGTGCCGTCGTACTTACTCGTCAACTGAACCGAGATCGTCTCATTTTTCGTGCACATATTGAATACCAAGTTTCCGTCCTGTGAGGTGGCCAACACTACAATATAGCTCAACCGATTTTCCAATACCAGCAACTGCAGCATCAGCACCGAAATGCTGGTGGAAATTGATTTGGATCGCATTTTCCCTGAGATGGTTAGAATACTAGTAAAGGGGCGACGAAATTTGATCTACCTTTCTATTTATCTGCATAAAAAATCATTACATCGATCAAATATACAATTTTTCAAATTCATTATTTTTTTAGGACTTTTCATAAACAATAAATTTGTTTCCTATTAAAAATCGGTTTTCTTATATTCTTTAATCTGGATGTCATTATCTGTTTTACTTATTAAGGAGATAGCCAAGCCAGCCCAAAACTGATCAAATTTGCAATTCCATTTTCTGAAAATTCTAATGAATATTTAATTGAAAATTCCTCTTGTGCCTCATAAAAGAATAAATCAAATTTACCATAGAGCCTCTCAAATAAATATCTAGTAGAATTTTCGGGTTGATTTCGCTATCTCTTAAAAGTTTTTCTCAAGTTTTACACGCCCAATCATTTTCTTTCTGCGTAATCTGCGTATATAAATAACTCAATCATGGCACTCAACTTAGCGTTAGACATGTATCATTTCAGCACACGAACATTATAAAATGATGAACGAGTGTCATAACTGTGACAAGGAAAATACGTGAAATGCGTGAAAAATCGAGTGCTACGATAACCTCGCGGATGAACTTGATCGCTATATGATCGAACTATATAACATTCGCCGTTTTTTCTTAGCTGATATATAGAATAAGTAGTTAATTGTATTAAAAGCCACGCTAAACTTTTTTAGAATGGTTCAACCTTTATTTAGAGTTACAAGGTTTGAACGTAGCAATTTTTCTAATTCTTGTTTGTCATGAAAATATAATAAATTAAATTTATGCAAACCTCTAATAAAATGTGAACAAATATAATTTCAATAAATGTCGAAAAATTGTTTTTCTTTAAAATATATATTTTGAGATTAACGTGTATCTATTAAAAAAAAAGGCTATAATGGTGGTGATACACGTTAGTAATCTAGTGTAAAGTAAACATGTTTTCAGTCTATACTTTATGGACTGCGGAGGTAATGTGTATTCGTTATCATAAGATGTATACTAAAATTTTTATCTAGCGCGTCGAAAAAAAGCTGATTCGATTCAAATATATAAAATTTATTGAAATGGTAAAGTGAATTACATTAATGTTAAACAAAAGATTGACAGTACCCTGATAGCACGGAAAGTTGCAGCAACGTTGCGGCAACCATATTTTTGAAACATTGAAACTTTAACATACTCGTGTCATGAACGTTGCGGCAACGTTGAAGCAACGCAGTTTATGTCCCATATGGTAACGAAGTAACGTTGCTGGAGCGTCGTCGTTCAGCGTCCGCGAGATTTCGGCAACGTTGCGGCAACTTTCAATGATTTTTTGTATTTAACGTGAGTCCGCGAAAGCAATGTTCCGTCAACGTTCCCGCAACTTCACGAGAGCCTACAGCTTAGATTACAGGTTCGTGAAAGCAATGTTCCGGCAATGTTCCGGCAACATTCCTGCAACTTTACGAGAGCTTATTTGCATTGAATTCGCTAACTTGCAGAGTTTTGAAAAATAGACAGTATCGGTTTTTCACAACTAATGAACAAGGGTATATACTCGCACTAAATTTTTTTCACGATGCATATTTATTTTTATAAAAAAATAATACATAAAATAGATAGTTCTGGAAAATGGACAGTATTGGTTTTCAACCTTTCATGAACAACGGTATCCTATACTCGCACTAAATTTTGNATTTTTTTTCTCCGGTATAGTATTGAATGTAGACATTGTTTGTATATTCTCATTGAGAATAAGACTCAACGTTTTGAAAAAGTATTCCATCTTGAATTTAAAAACAATAAAATAAATTTTATGCAATAGTATGACGAAAAATGTATTTTTTCGCACATTTTTTAGTGCGCAAAAAGCGTTTTTGGACACTTGTGTGCGGTAAAATGCCTCATTTTGGACACGGGTGTGCGGTAAAAGGCCTCATTTAAATGAACGTATTTTTCGCCTACTATTGCATAAAATTTTGTATGCAACACGTGCCCAGCTTTTTGCGCACAGTGTGCGGAAAAAACACCCACTCGTGCCGGCATAGCCGGCACTCGTGTCTTTTTCCGCACACTCGTGCCCAAAAACGCCTTTTGGGCACTTGTTACATAAATAACTATTACATTTTTAATCGTGCTTCCAAAATAGTTTCATTAAAGTAAACCTAAAAATTGGTTGAAAGTTTAAGTATAAAATGTTTTAGGAATTTCTTGAAATTTTTAAAAAGCTCGCTTCAACCCTTTAGGGAATTTTACTTAAAACCACTCTAGAAGCACGATGAAAACATGCAATAAGCTTTTTTGAAACTTACTGGAAAATTTCAGAAAGCTTTCCAGCAAAAGTTTATGAAAGTTTCTGGATAATTTCAGAATAAGTTGCAAGGAATCTTTTTAAAACAATAATATTAAAGTTTGGACGAAATTTTCAACAAAATTAGTAGATTTTCAACACAGGCACCATAGTTTGAGATTAGGGTTGTGCGAGTACTCGAAAAAAAGCTCGACTCGGCTCGAACTCGATTTTTCGAGTACTCGAGTTTTTTCGAGTTTCGGTTAAAAACTAACTAAATTATGCAGTGACCATTATCATTAATTTTGTAATTGTATGGTCATATAAGTGCATTCATATATATTATATTTATTTGTCGTGACAAATGTCGTATAAATAGTCCCGTTCGATTACAGATACTTTCATACAGCGGCTTTTCAAGGGAAAATCAGTAGTATTGAAAAATTCAATTTTTCAAATACAACAACCTCATTTATAAAGAAATAAAATAAACTTTATTTTCATTTATGAAAAAGTGAAAAAGTGCATAGTACATTTATTTTAGATTCTCACAGAAAAATTTTGGCCGAGCCAAGATAGAACATCAATCAAAATCAAAAATATTTATTAATCATCTCTGAAAATCGAGGGGGCGCGCTGTGAATGCGACACGTCATAAGTCGGCTGCGCACGGGTCATGAGCTCGATGCAAAACCTTATTTACCGCTGCGAATGCACTTATGACCATGCACATACAAGGAAGGTGACAATGGTTCGTCACTGCATCTTTTATAGTAGTCCAAAACTCGAAAACATGGCGAGTACCCGACAAAACTCGAGTACTCGGAAAAACTCGAGTTCGAGTCGAGTAATACTCAAAAAATCGAGTACTCGCACACCCCTATTTGAGATCACTTAACCGTAAGTTTGCCTTAAAATGATCTTTATAAACATTTAAAATCTTGAATGTAAATTTTCATGGAGTTCACAAAACAACGAAAGTTCCAATCAAAAAACTTTTTAGAATCTTACCAGTAAGTTTTAAGTTACATTTGTTTTCAGTAGATGGCGTCTCCCAGCAGTTGTGCTTTTTAATTAATTTATTATTTACGTCAGAGAATAAAAAGCTGATTTTCCAATCCAAATTTATCTGCTAATAAGTGATCGGATAAATTTTTCAAATTGTGGATATAATAGTTAATTGCACTGATTTCAATAAAACATAAGTTCTTTAACTAGTTCAAAATATTCATTATGAGATTTTATAATCAATTTAAAACTTATTTTTCAAGGAATTATTTAGGGTAAAATAATATTTAACAAAGGATTTAAGAAAGAAATAACAAATTTTTACGCGTAATTCTTTTATTCAATCGTAAGTAACGTACCACATTGATGGACAAATACAATATATAACTTAGCTTTATCGAAGAAAAATTTACTCAAAAATGTTTAACAATTCAAGGTAATACCTAGTTTTAATATAAAATGAATAATACTGATTTAGTAAGAAGAAAATGGAAAGTGTTTGATCCAATTTGACTTCTCGTAAACGATTATACGATCGTATAAACTAATCAACCTTTAAATAAAAAAGTATAAACTCTTATTTCACTAATATTTTCAGAAATAACTGATTGAATAAATCACAACAAGAATAACCTCAGAGTCCTAATACACATTAGTAAGTTTATTTAGTGATCGCAAATTGATCGGAGACGGATTCGCTCATATTAGCTTTAATTTAAATTAAATAACCGCAGAAATCGACAAGATGGACGAAGATATGATATCAGAGTTATTGTCGATAAAGAAGATGTCACCTGGTACTTTGTAAACTAACTTTTACATCCGATCCCTATCAGATCTATAATAGCATAGAATTTAGCTTTACGAGGCCAAACTTAGTGATAGATGGTACTCGGATGAAGCGGTGTAGCGAATATTTTTTGTAAATTGGACGTGTTCGTTTTTCATCGGAGGTTTATACAAATAGACTCATACCAACTGATATTGCACTTTTACTTAACCATTAATGGTATATAACAAATAATAATTTACTACTAACTTACCTAAAATCATAAACAATAAAAAGTAAAAATTAGAACATAACAAACGAAAACGTACGTGTAAAGTACATTCGATTGTAGTTACACACAATATACACTAAATATTAAATATATCTACCTCGATTTGGTGATAGCACTATCAATTTGTTATTTCCAATGTATTCGTCTCGTTTTACAATGAAGGATAACAAGATTACACAACTACCTGTAGCTGAATATGAATCGAAGTTACACTTCTAATTACCTAGTAGTATATTCGTTATTGTTACTTTGGTTTCTGCCATATAATATTATTCAGCTATCTATCCAACTACATTGGAAAGAACAAAATTTATTTATATCCATGCGTGGTTAAACAAATTCTTTTTTTCTCACTCACAAAACATTTATCATACATTCACTTTTTGGTAAAATACGCGCAATCCGCAAACTTCAAATAAAGGTAATAAATGTATTCTGTTTTTACAGTCTTTTAGTTTTCTGTAAGTACTCTCAAGGCCTCGCATCTGATACAAATAGTCTCATTCGCGTACGGAGAAGTAGAAAAGATCCTCTAAAATTGTATCGATTTCACTAAGACTTACGCAAATTGGCGACAATTCGATGCTCTACTGGCTCGTTGGAAACTGCACCAATGAACTACATGGTATGGAACTTTTTTCAGCAGTTTTTGGTCTGGTGATATTCATGTTTGAACTGAGGCGAATTGATGTTTTACAGTGAGTCGCAAACCAATTATCGTTTTACAAAATTTATGTTTCTGTGGTTCCGAAATTTTTTCAATCAAATTAAAATATTTTTTACTCTTAGTTTTTTTTCTTCGTCAATTTTTTCATATTAAAATACGATTTTCGCATTGAACGATTGCGTTTGCACTTTAAAATTCTCAAGTGATTTATAACTTTACATATTGTATTTATATATCATTTCACACAATACACAACTGTTATTATGCATACTTTTTTTCGTTACGAATATCTATATAATTCTCTTGTATCTACGCTACTTTTCTTAGTCATCTCTTCAGCCTTTTTTAATGTCACTCTTTTCTAGTTTATGTGCTATTAGCGATTTATGTTCAGTTAATCGTTCATTTTAATAAATTACTGACAATTTTTAGCTAATTTAGTTTAATTTAATTTTTAGCTAATTGATGATTATATGAACATCGATGTATACTATTTTTCGATGCGCTACAAAATTGCTCTAATTTGGTACGAAAATTTGAGAATGATCGTACGTGACAAATCAAAGCTACAATTTTTCGTTGAATTATATTAGTGCTATCTATGATGTTCTTGGCACTATCGTATTCTACAATTTTCTACGATTATTATAATTTTTTTCTTATTCTGTAGCAGTACATCGACTAAATTGCTAAAAAAACTAAATCGCCGCAGAGACATGCTTGTGTACAAAACTGATTCATGCGTTCATGTACCTCGTACATTGTTTGTTGATTACATGCTAAGGAAGTATAATAATCACCTATCATATAATTGGGACGTTTCACGTTGTCGCGTTTTTACGCAACGGTCATTGATAGCACAGTCATTATTGGACGAAACGATCGACACATTGCCGCTTACAATCAAATTTACATTTTTGTTAACATTTTTTATTTTCGATATGGTATAGATTTTATTCGTATTTTTATTTATTATTCGTCAATCACGCGATTTTTCCATTCTAATACCGATTGAATGGGAGAACTGAAATCTGAAGAAATTTCAATTTTTAATAATGGATTTGTACTGTTTCACATTATTAAGATTGCACCTGATCCCTGCCAATTTAATATGAAATATTATAAATCTTCTAAGCAATAAAGGTTGTTGATCAAGCAAATTTTACAACTTAATTAAACGTAAAATTTTCTTATTGTTTCGATAACCCAAGAGAAATGAGATTTGAAAGGTTATAAAGATTCACCGGTTAAGCCATTCTTATAAATTATGTATCCTAGCTACGCGATATACTCATATAGTATAGTAACAACCAATAATACTTAATTTCGTATAGTTTTTCGATTACACTATACTAATATTTCATTTCCCTTCGAACAACGAGTTCAAGAGAAAGAATTAAGCTTCGTCTTTAAAAGATATGTGGTGCGAGCTGCAGCTTCCAAAGCGACACGGGTCTGGCGAATACGGTGACCTGGCCCTTTTCTTTGCCACCGATGAGGAAGACGTAGAGGGGCGCCGGTGACGGTGAGTTGCGCTCGTTGCGCTCGGAAGCGGCCAGTTTGGCTCGTTGACGCTCGGCCCTCGACGCGCTCACGGCCCGACGGGACGGCGAACCGAGAGGCAGACTCTTGGGCGGAGCTCTCGGTCTCGTGCTCGTGCCCAGCTCCTGCATCTCCAGCAGGTCGGAGAAGGTCTGCGATGTCGATCGACCCGGCTCGTCCTCGAGAACGCTGTCCGGTGGACTGTTCAGCATTTTGGCGTATCTCACGTCTTGATCCGAGAGCTCCGACGTATTTTCCAAGCCCAGGTAGTTCGGGTTCGAAAAGCTCAGTTGGTTGTCTTTGAAGTTCTGAAATTCGACAAGTCGTAAGCCGAAATTGGTAAGAAATTGAATGGAATACCGCGAGAAGAATTACGAGCTACAAAACGTACTTGTGAATTACGGAAACTTTTCGAGTTCCGTTTTGGCCAGTCATCTTCGGCCAAGGGATCACCGGGACTGCGAGCGCCTATGCTGGCATAGTCAGAAGTCGACTCCTCGCCTTCCTCGAGATCGGCAAAACGTACGGACGTCGAGTGCGGCAATCTGGTACAGGGTGTTTTCGGTGTTTGAGCCGCATCGCAAAGATTTGAACTGTAGCTTTCTCCTCGTGGCGGTTGATGAGATTGGTGCAAAGATGCAAAGTCGCTGTTTTTATATTATATATGCGATTAAAATTTGCTTTGAAATGTGTTAATGATGCCTAAATTATTTTGGTAAAAACAAATTTTGAACAGAACATATTCCGGCGTATAGGTGAATTTTTTTTCAATGAATAAATATGTTTAACAAAAACATAATAATAATCGAAATCTAATGTAGATGCGGAAAATAAAATAATTAGATATCCGACAAATATTCAGACCAGTGCCTTACACCACTCGTAATTTAGTCCTAACAAAGCACCAAACACCAAGACATAATCCCCCGAGAGAAAAGATACTACATAGAGTGGGTCAAGTACAAAATAATTCAGTCGAATTTTCAATTGTTCTCGCGTAGAATCGAAATGTTGTACCTTCTATCCTCCTCGGGCACTTCGATGAGTCTGTTGGACGAGGCATTTTTCTTGGCGTCCTCGTTGTCGTCGTCGTCCGTATCCTCGTCCGGATCGACGAAAACCAATCTGGCCGCTTCGATGGGCGTCAGCACCGGTGTCGGCAGCGCCAATGCCCGAAAGTTCGGCACAGATATTGGCTCGCGCGTCATGCCGCCGAAGTTGGTCTCCATGTTACCGAGCAGCGGCTCGAACATGCTGTTGCGCGCTTGCTGATCGGACAGGCGGCCTTGATGGTGTCTGCGACGTGCCTGCATCGCCAGTGCGTTGTAACTTCGCGACTTCACCATGCCCGTGGCAGGCTCGATCACTTCCATGTCGACCTGTTGGAAAGGAAAATACGAGTTTGCCTGGGCGTCGCAAACCCACTACGTAGTCAGCTAATCTGATCTTTGCCAATTCGGAGGAAAAATAAAGCCACACACATTTACACAAGACACTACGAGTGAAATAATTTTGGGGTTTATTTACAAAACTCGAGATGATTCCCAACACGTCGAGTGAAGTTAAATATCAATTTTGACCTAATTTTAATTTTGACCTGAAAGCTACTGTACAAAGACGAAAAAAAAACTCAGCTCACCTCGAACGGACTGTCAAGTTCTCGATCGTCCTGTCCGCTCAGGACCGAGTAGCTGCACTTGTTGGGATGGCTCAAGCGCGACAAATTGATCTGCGAAAGTTTGGATATCTCGCGCAGAAAGCTCGGACGCTGAGGTGGCGCTTGATCGGGCGAACTCGAGCGCCCGTAAGCGAATGACCTGCAGCTGCCGTTGCGCTGATTGTTCCTTGTGCGGGGCCGACAGTAGCCGTTGCTCGTGGCGAAGTTGCTGATGCTGTTGCTGCTACTGATCCCGTTGTTGTTTATCAGCAGCTCGGAAATCGTGAGCGCGACGCTCTCGGCACGGGGTTGAGGCTTCGGTCCTGGAAACGTCAATCGCTCCCAAGTCTCTGTGCCTGGAATCAGACGATAAAATTGAATACTCTCAAACGATAGTGCAATTGAAATAGTAAAGAGTGTCCAGTTGAGCCGAGCAATCGTTCGATTACGTTTCTAAATATATATGCGTTCTATATGACTGAGTTACAAAACATGAATAAAAGAGTAACTCATACGAGCTCGTGATTGCAATCTATTTTTCAAATGAAATTTAATAGCAAAATGAAACGCTGGATAAGTACCAAAGTGAAACCTCCAGAGTTCATTGGTCGCCGAGCCGCCGCTCTCGCCGCCGAATATCAGCATGCAGCTGGGCAGACGACAGGCCGCGTGTCCGTGAAGCGGTCCCGGCCCGGTTTTGGCACGCAGCAGACACCAGGAGGCCGCCTTGGCGTCCCATCTCCAGCAGTCGCTGCGCTCCTGCAGGTCGGTCATTCCGCCGTAGATGTACATGAAGTCGCCGTGTAGAACCGCCGAGTGCTTGTGTCGGGCGGGCGGACCGACGTCGGCCGACGACAGCAGGTGCCAGGATTCCGTTTCTGCGCACGTACGCACACGAATTTGAAAACAAAAGAAGATGAGAAAAAAAGTTCGATTCTCTGGCACTCAGGCTATTATCCCACACACGTATATAATGTACTCGCAAAGCGAGACTATTAAGCAGACACTACTAATTGATACAAATGGGGGATTAATTAGCCGGTGCGTGTGTGGGATATATATGTGCGCCAAAGCCTCGCACGCGCGCGTCCGTGTATCTTATAATCTCACCGAAATGAAAAGCCCAGAGCTCGGACGAGCTGCCCCGTAAATCTTGATAACCGCCGTATATTAGCATCTGTCCGCGATGCACGAGGGCGGTGTGGCCTCGTCTGCCTCTCGGTACGGCGCATCCCTTCTGACCTCGTATTTTTCGCCATGAATTTGTCTGCGTCATGCAAATGGGAAATTCACGTCGATGAATAATTTTGCATTAATTCTTTTTTTCCTTTTTTCTTTCTATCGCAGATGCACACGGAGCAGAGCCTGGCCGAATAAAGCTCGAGTAAACTACATTCTCGCGTGGAAAAGATGGGATTGTCGGTTTGAATCAAATATTCAACCTATCCAAATCCCATCTGGACACTGCGCGCGCTATATCGTATATACTACAAAGTTGCGAATATTTACTCGGGTTTCATTTGCAAGAGCTGCTGCTGCTAGTTGGCGCGTGTGCAGCCAAGTATAAAGTGAGAGATAGCTACGAGAAGAGGAGAAGAAATAGATTACCTTGATGGAGTAGCACCAGAGCGGCGTCTCTGTACCCGCGGAAAAGCCGAGCTCCCCGCCGAAAACGTAGAGGCAGTCCTTGTAGGCGACCGTGCTGTGCTCCTGCAAAGCCGGAGGCTTCTCTCCCGTGGGACGCAGCTCTTCCCATCTGCTCTCGGCTGTACGTATACGCGTATGTAGTATGTAGTTGACGCAGCGTAGCAAAGTAAAGAACACGAGTAAATAAGTGATTCTTACGGTGTTATCGGTGTACAGAAAGGAGGATCGTTGCCGGGCACTTTGGCCTTTGCTGGCAGGGAAATTGCAGGTTTCTCTCTCTCTCTCTCTCTCTCTCTCTTTCTCGATGTTTGTTATTACTGAACAAGTATTTATTTCAGTTGCTATAGGTATTTTAATCTTGGATCACGTAACGACTCGAATACGCACCGCCTCCCGAGGCTTCGCAAATATTTGCATCATCATTTTTTCGAGCTTGCAACGTAGAGCACTCGATAAAATGTGGTTTGGTGTTGGTTTGTTATTATAGAAAAAAAGTTGATGATAGTAACGAATACTCTCAAGCGGGAAGTCAAGCCGTTCGTTTTATCCGCAGACGCCAGTGCACTTCAGGTAACTAATTCTGCTTTATGTTAACCCGTCATCGACAGATTAGCTATCTGCCGCGCGCACGTGCATTTACCAAAGTGAAAATGTATAGCTGCAGCCTCTCTGGCTTTATCAATAAAGGCAAGTTATATAGCGATTCGACTAAAACATACGTTGCTACACAGACGTGTATATAATATATACTCTCTTATAGAGTAAAGCTGTGCTCTCGCGTACGTGCCCCGTAACAAAGCCTCGAGCTTGCGACATAGTCAGCTGCAGCAGAGGTAGCACTGGCACCAGCACTAGTATGTTATAGCGGATGACTCGGGAAACTGCTGGGCTAGGCGAGCAAACAAAGCAATTCTCTTTCTCTTTCTCTTCCGAGCGAAGATTCAACTAGCAGATATATATATATGTAGACACACACGTGCTCGAATATATATGTGCATATACATTTTCTCGCGAACACTCGACTAAGCTACACTACACACTCGAGCTGCAGCTGATATCGTCGTCGTGCAGGCCCCTGCTGAGCCGCCACTTCTTGCTTTCTTTCTCGAGTTCCATATACGTATATACTACTGACCCATAAGTGTAAAGAGGTTGACTTGGCTATATTACATACACACACTCGCGCGGGTTACGTATAGAATGTACATGTGGTTGCAGCGGTTATTACACTTGGCAGGAGTTTTACGCGCTTATGACGTTTGCTGTCGTTCGAATCGTCGATGGCTGACTTGAAAATGTAAAGGGGGCTTGGACTTGACTGAATAATCTTACGGGCGCAGCTGGATTCAGACATCTAAGTGGCTTGAGAAAAAATCTGCATGAGTCGGCTATTTTTACAGCAGTATGAAACTTTGCCTCGACTTTCTTTACTCATTTATTGCGAAAAGAAAAATATTACAATTTATCAAACGTTTTACAACGAATGGCACTGAGACTTTCAAAAATTTACCGTAAATTTCAAAACAACGTTTCACAACCATCAATCATCATTATCTTTTCTTCCGTTTCGGACGCTTCCTGACGCATCCGCAGATATGTCGTTTGCCCTGTCTAGCTACCTTTTTACCGCCTCGCCCGCGCCTCTTCGGACAGTAGCCACAGCCACCGTGACAGTTTTCGCAATCGCAGCAAGAGGGTCTGGGCGCATCTTCCATTTTGACCCAGGCATCGACCATGTGATACTGACCGTCGCAGGTTTTCTTAATCAAGCCGAATTTCTCGCAGCGCTTCAGAATCAGTGGCAACTGTTGAGCCAACCACGATCGCGTCGAAATAATTTTATCATCGGCTGCTTGTGACTACGTGTCAAGCGTGAATTGATTTTTATGTTTTGTTACCTCTTTCTTTATGGTTTTCTTCCAATTTTTCCTGTCCGCCAGAACGTACTTGAGAATCTGGCGTTCCGATACGTGATTCATTTTCTTCATTGCGTCGATAATGGTCGGGAGCTTGAAGAGGTCGTTTATCTTCGAAGAACCTTTTAGTTTTATGGGATATTTTCGTCTTGGCTTTTTGTTCATTGTTTTTTCAAGAAACTCCGATGGCGTTTGCTAATAATGTCAACGGTCGCCGCTACTGTATCAATCGGTATCTGCAGTTAACATTGGTTAGATTCGATCATGTAAACAATCTCTCGATTTTCTTTGCCAAAACTTACTATGATAATTGTTCACGGGCATGTTGACTTTATCTTTAGCCAGAATACACCGTCCTAAAAGTAATTTCACCTTTGCAAAAGATATTCATGTACTTTTCATTCTTCGTTTTCAATTCACACATGTAGCCTACAAATCCGCTGCTTTAATAGTAAACAATATTAAGCTTCCCGTCATGATGAGTAGGTTAGAATACTAAATTCGAACGTCCGGATTATGATTTTTGAGCTATAGCGTACTCTAAATGCTGGAGGCGAAATTAATTTACGTGATTACAAACTCGACAAACAGTTTATGCGACTTATGCATGCAAACAGCCGAAAATTCATGAGCTAAGCTACGCGGGTGTTATCAACTCGACTTTGCGTACACATGCTGGCACTGCTGCACTGCATCGACCGAGAGAATAAATCATCGTTATCGCCAAAATTATATGTGCGAGCCGAATCGATCGGACGTCCGTGTAGATTAACCCCGTCTCAGGATTTATCGAGCTATATTGCAAATTACGTCGAGTGATATGGAATTAAAATTTTTTTAAAGTAGCAGCAGTAATGGCACTCCTCGGGCTGTAAGTTTTCCCGTGCGTTTTCCAGCGAACGCGTGCGAAAAAACTTGAGTTCGTTAAAAGGTTCCGCTGCAGAGTCGTTTGAACTTTTTGGCCTAGCCCATCGAGAGCATTGTTAAAAGTTTAATTACATCGAGAAACCTGATAGCAATTAATTTCGGGGCAAAGTTTTGCCGCAACCATACCCGACTCACGTCTCTTATTCAAGCTCTCATCGTGTTACAGAATCAGATGGCTCGTGTACATATATTTCAACGGCGAAAACGAGAAAGAGAGGGACAGAGAGAGACATAGGGGAGGGGAGGGAGATAGAGAGAAAAGCAAATGGAAAATGAAAATTTTTTTGCATGCACTCGATGATGCCTCACCGAGACTGTAACGCCAGAGATCTTTGAGCGGCAAATTGCCATTGCGCCCGCCGAGCAGATAAACATTGCCGGCCAGCAGAGTGGCGCTGTGCTTGCTGCGGGACGGCGGCGCCGGTCCGTTTTCCACGCCGGCCGCTGTTACCGAGCTCCACATATCAGCTTGCCCCGAGTCTGTACCTGCAACATACATCAGTACAACGTTTACCGCGAGTTTACTATAATATCATATCATATATACACTGTTTATTATATTGCAGGCTCATGCAGACGCGCGCCGCAATTACTCTAGCCGATGAATTTTCCCCCGTCAGATGCAATTTATCGAATTTACGATTATGCAAGCTGCTGCTTCTGCTTCGTCTGTTTATTAAACGGCCCTATAAACAGCTTTCACGCTACGAAAAATACGCTGCGCGCTTCAATTTCATCGATAGACCATGCCGAGTAATGTAATTTTCTACTCTCCAGCTGAGATGCTTTTCCGCCGTAACATTCGGCTCGTTACGTCGACACAGCAGCTGCTCCCGTTTAACTCGTTATACTCGTCCCTTTGTTTGCCTATTTTGCAACGCACACATCGTTGCACCCTATATACCATAGAATACTGTAAATTTAATTGCGTCAAAAGCTGATACTAAGTCTGGAGTTTTTTTTCTGTTTCCAGATTTTAACCAAACACAATATGGGTACCACCAAAGCAAGGGCACAAACGGAACAAAATACATCAAAGTACGTACATGCTTGATTCATACTCCGCAAAAAAAAACCGAGGCTTTCGGGGCACCTCGCTTCTGAAACTGATTACATTAATTCCAGAGTAAAAATCACGAGGTACTTTGCTCGTACAATTTCAATAAATGCGTATTCTCGAATAAAAAAAAGAAGCTTGCTCATGAATAGCGAAAAAAGGGTTGGCGCGGTGAAGAGCCGCGTGTGCAAGCACATCGTTTTGCGTCGTAACATTCGCGAGGCTTGTGTACGCTCGGCGTGGTACGCACGGGAAAACGTCAGGTAGCGGAAAATTGTTAAAAATCAACGCACGAGGAGAGAGGAAAGGAGAGAGAGACAAGCCGGTAAAAGCTTTCGCTTCGTTAAATGAAATTAATGCTACACGCATCTCGAGACGTCTGTGCTCTATACACACATCTAGACCCGGTATGTTTTCAATAGATGTTACAAAATGACAAAGGCCTTAGATCATCAGCCGCAACTCGAGATCTAAGCTTACGTTCGAAAGAGGTAGTACACTGCTGCTATCTTGCAAGACGCGCCTGAGCTGTCTTATTTACCCCCTTCGCTCGTTCTTGTTTCGTTTGCATGCACGCGGAGGGCGTTATTTAAGCTTCATGATCTTTGAACGCGAAGCTTTCACTCCGTGATCTCCTAGAGCAAGATGAAAAATTCCTCGAGAGCAGAGGCGCTTGATGGATTATATGCGGCGCGCAGAGGGCAAGTTTGCAGGCTTATAATAAATTGCGCGCGACGCGCCGCGTATAACCGAAAGCTTCCTCCTATTCCCACGCAGGCATGTAATACGTGCGCAGCTTTTTTGCTCGTCGCGCACTCCATTACGACTTCTACAATCATAACTTTACCTTGTTATATTTTAATAATGCGACGATTTTTACACGAATTTCGAGCGGCTCATCCTCGTTCGTGCGCCCAAAGTGTATATCTCTTGGGCGATAATGAGAACAACCTACATTTCTAATTGAAGCACGACTCCGCGTGGCAGTTATAATTTTACCGTATTTATGTGCATTCGCTTTTGTCGCGTACATCTCAACGACGAAATTATGTTCCAGTATTTTCGACACGCGAACTACGATAAAGCTCCCGCGCGACCTGCATCGGACGCTCATGTGCACGAAAACTTTCTCGACTCATCTGTCTTCTGTGCCTTCTGTACGGGTGGTCGTCTGTCGCGCGAATAAGGTAATAACACGTCCCCAGGTAGTACAACGCACGAAAGCTCATAAGCTCACACGGACAAGGCCAAAAGTGTGCCAATGTTAATATACCGCATATGCACGACACTAATATTTCCTACGAAAATCGATAAACAGCAACAGTAGCGTCCCGTCGTAAAATCGTTTGCTATATGGCATTGGCTGCCTAGAGGCAGATAAAATGTAGCGAAAAGAGAAACAAACAGAGGTGAGAATCCATATTGATTGCGCAACTTATAGTTTATTGATGGATATGTTGTCGAGTCGCGTACCTCATTTTCAACTCGCTTGTTTGCAATAAGCTTAAGCCCTCGTGTAAGCTCCCGAGCTTCCGACATGTAATAAGAGAAAAAGCGCGAGTTCACAAACAAATACTGACGTTTCCTCTCGGCGAGCCGAGTGCTTACTTAAGTCTGAGTAGTTCGATGAAATTTTCATCGTAATATCGAATCATATTTTTATTCCAGACAATATTCGCTTGATGCAATTTAAAAAAATTTCACGCCAATGAACACGATTTCAATATGAGATTTTGATGAGATCCCGGAGCCTCATTTTTATTCAACTTGATCGAAATTGCCGATAAAGTAGGTGCTGTCGACGAAGAAAAAAATCCAATCCCGATCGTATTCGCGAAAAAAATAGACCGAGTCGATAGATCCTTCCGACAAGCGGCTGATTAACTCGAAAATTTTCAATTTCGGCCGAAATAATTCATTGATCGTATTAGACTTTCCACGTCTTCGTGTTCTAATAAAATAGCCTCGATTAGCCGGTGTCGTATACCTAAAGCTCATTACCGGCATGACTACGTAACTACTGTACAGACTATAGTACACGTTGCCATTCACCCTCGGTGAGGCATTAAAACAAAAAAAAAAAAAAAAACGGAAGTAAAACACGCCGTACCCTCGACGTGCATCGCACGCAAGTACGACATTAAATCTCCCTCTTCCTCGCAACACGTTTTTCGCAAGACTCGAGTCGTCCTCCTCCTTGAAACACGTCAGCGAGAAAGCTTTTAAAAAGAAGGGTATACGCAAGTTGCTCAGCTCAACGTTGAAGAGCTCGCATTTTTAAGAAAAAAGCAAAAAAAACGTTACGTGACCCCTGGAGGCACGCATGTGCAGGAAAAAGAGCAGCGCCCCAGGAGCTGCAAGCTCGTGTATAAAAGCTCGAGATATGCATGTAATATATACGTATACATTTTTTTACGGACTTCCCAAGTCAGTGTATGCAGACGTGTGCGTATGGCTGTGTATATGCATACATACTTTGTATAAACAACTCGTATACATAGGCGAGTGTATCTCGTTAAGACTTAGCGCGAGACTCGTGACCCACATATTGCTTGCTCGCGTCGGGTTTTGTCGATTAATCGCAGCTTTTTTCTATATCTATATCTTGCCGTACTCGCGTATACTTTCCAACCTGTTCCTTCGTATTTTTCAACTTTTTTTCTGATATTATTTGCCTATAGCGTGTTTTTTTCCGATACGAGAGCAGAGCTCATTCAATTTTTTACGAGCGCGCGATGAGTGGAGAGAAATAGAAGCAGACTTTCGTTGATATTACATACAAAGTTGAAAGAGAGTTTTTCGCCCTCGAAAGTTTGAAATTTGGTTTTGCGTGCCCTGCTACCACGTGGAGTATAATTTTGATGTACTCGGTATGCATGAGGTATCGCATGAATAATTTTGTGCCACAGTAGTTCTAAAAGTTAGGCACGTGCACTGTTAAAAACCTTAAATCTAACGCATATTTATTGTATAATCAGACATTAAAATTTAATCAACTAATACTGAATTTTATACAAGGTACTTTTAAATGTAATTTTCGTTGAAAATTTATGTAAAAGCATGATTTATTTTTCACGTAAAATGTATGAAAATGCAATTTCATACATTGCAATAAATGCAAACATAAACTAAAAAATAAAATGTATGCATTTTGATTAAAAATTATCTTTTGAGTACTGGTTTTTTCACTAATTGATCAAAAAGTTGGAAATTCAACGATAGTTAATGCCAGCCACCACCGCTAGATGGCGAGCATCTTTATCTATGAATCTGCAAGTGGCAAAGTAGAAATAATTATATAAGTCGAAGAACGGTTTTGGAACGGTTTTCAAAAAATTATAAGACATATTTTTCCATAAATTCAAATAACATTAAGTACAAATAAAGCATAATTGAAACATGTACAGCCAGACACAACGCTGATAAAATAACTATAATACATACGGCTAGTGGAAACAAGGGCGCCTAAATTAAACTACAAAATGTATCATAAATGTAAACGCTTAAAGGCATTGCTACAAAAATTATGTTATAGAAGTTCAAATAAAGTCTTTTTCAAAAGTCAAAGTCAAAGAAAATTCAAGTGCGGAAATCGGAATCATTCAGTCAAGTAGTCCATGAAGTTTAAAGAGCATCAAATTTATGAAATTTATCAAATTACAGAAAGTCCATTAAACAGTTAATTAATAAATTCAAATCTCGCTTTCAAAATTTTTCGCAGTTGCTGATTTATATGGAACGACTCGTCGCAGTAATCAGTACGTTGCTTTGTATTTATGTAGAAGCTGCGCATAAAGTCACTTAACTCAGCCGAAAATGAGAGCTGCAAGCACAAATGTTAGCGGAAAACGAGGCCATACAATAAGACCGAATCTTGAATATTTAATTATGCTTCTCTGTATTTACGAGAGACCGACTTCATATGTGCGTTAGAAGGGTTGCATGCAGGTAAACCTTTATACCTTCGCTATTTGAAAGCTATAAACACCGTTGAGTAGTGCTTTTCAAACGCGCCACCCAAAGTTTCAATGATTCGTTTTCTCATATTTCAGGCTACGGGGTTATCGGGTCAATTCGAGCTTCGAAATATCTCGCTCATTAAACTACATTATTACCATCTCAAAAGCGAGTTCGCTGCTGCTGCTAGCAGCTGTGTCAGTTATTATTTCTTTTTTTTTCATTTCGAGCGTAATGTTTTTCTCGCGAATTAAATTTTTTTCTCCGCTTTTCGGAATTAGCAAATATAATTACGACTCGCTTGGATAAACGTTTTACGGACAGATGAAATTTGCATTTATGCGGCTCGCGAGTATTTATGGTTAAAAGTTTATTTTTTTTTCGCCGAGTGCAGATTTTATGCCGCGATTCTCGGCATGCGAGTATTTCTATGGAAATCGCGTGGCCCCTGTATTAAGATTATGATGGATAAAAGTAGTAATTCACGATAACGTACTCGAAATTGCTGCACCCGATAGAGTTCGAAAGAATCGCGTTGCAACGCCTCATATTTTCGAAAATTTAGTTGGTTCTTAACACGAACAAGTCGCAAATTATCCGAGAATGCACACGAGCCTTGTGGACCCCTCCGATGTGAAATTTCTAGCGGTGCGATTCAAGATGGATAAAAAAGCGAGCACATTCATCTCGTGAATACGAAAACGATCGAGGAAAAAATACCCTCGAAAAAAGTGCCGTTTTCCGTTTCGTCGTATTTTCCCCTTCGCCGTTGTCAAAACAATGCGCAGCGCCTTCGTGACAACCCTCGGCTGTTCTGTGCCGCGGCGCTTCCTACTATACTGACATCCCAGGATCGCATTATTACATACAAGAAATTCAGTATATAGAGTTACACTCGGCGTTGTACATCATTGCATATACACACGGGCACATTATATTGTACGTGGAAGTCGGTAAACGAGCGAAAATCGTGCCTGCAAAGCTGCAGAAAGATAAAAACTACAGCGCCGGTTGGCTTTGCTAAGGCTGCGTACATTATTTGGAGCTACTCTGACCCCATCCGCGCGTATACCCGTCGGCTATCCTCCTCCTGCGCTTTTGCCGGGTTACGCGAGCGCGTGTCTAGATGATATTACGTTTGACGCGGTAGATTTTTAAAGCTCAAGGGTGAAAATGTACAACAACAGCAGCGGCAGCAGCGACGCGGGTACACACGATGTGTGTGTATACATGACGGAATAATATAATGCACCGCGGCGACTTTGCCGCAAGCTCGCATAGCAATGACCTTCGAACTTGACCGGAATATCAATGAGAAGATCGAAAACGCGCGCGACGTCTGGGCTAGGCGGAGTTCATGTGCTCGGGGTACGGTTGAATATCATACCGACTGTGTGCGGCGAAATCTGAGACACCGCACGTCGTGTGTGCTCGATTCCTCGTTTCTGGAAATCAGCCGCGTCGCCCGTATTATATTTTGTCTTTTATTTTCCGCTTCTGCCTTTGTGCGAAGCTGTACATAATAATAATACGAGCCAAAGCGTTATGGAAAAACTCTCTCGAGTCAAAAGATGAATCGAATTGCGCTGCGACCCAAGTCGGAAGGGATCGAACCGAGCCTTTTTGTTCGCTAAATTCGATTTGACAAGAAAGCTCTGGTCGGGTGGATGATGAAATATTTTCGCCAGGGCGGCGCGCGCGGCTACAGTGACGCTCTTTGGCAATACTCGGCTTCACTTTAGCAATGTCACTTTGTATGATTTCGCTTCGAACTTATTATATTAACTTTTTCATTTCGAAACCTTTGAACTTTAATAAGGAAAAAAATTGCAGCGATGTATATATACTTTAAAAAATTCAGATGACTTATCTTCGCGGCAAATGCAAATGAGGAACATTAATATACATACACGTGTAAACTCCCGAATGTCATAGCGATCGATCGCGCAGGATCTATCCGTATCGCACCCCTTTTCCTCCTGTGCGTCGCTTCATCTCCTGGGAGCTTTTGCTTGGCTGCGTCGACGTTCACGACCTCAAGTATCATCCCCGCATTATTATTAATAAAAGTCGCCTGTTCTCTACCCTCTCGTGCTCTCTCTCTCTCGCACATATTATACGCTTGTATATATTTGTTTTATTTAAAGGTAATACTGCGTATCGACATGGATGCGTGTACGTACAGGCGCGTGACGACGGAAATACAAAACAGCTCTATAAGTGCTCCAGTAACTATGGAGCTATACACGAGTCGCGAAACAAAAATGTTGAATTTCGGTAATTATGTCACGTGCCTGAGAGCTCGTGTACGGCATATAATACGTCTTTGCGATCATTAATGAATCGCACCCCGTACATAATGACAGATACACGCGCACAGAATGCAAGCTCGAGCCTCTGCGCTGTGTCGCTGTGTGGTCGACTTTTTGAATAAAGCATTCGAGCCACAAAGCGGAGGAAGAGGGAGAGAGAGAGAAAAAGCGACTGAGAGAAAATCAAACAAATACGTAAATGCGAACTGCCGGCGAGGGATGCAAGAATGATGGAATAAAAAAAACTAAATAAAGAGTCCAAAGGACGATATGTGTGTAGTGTATCTGTGTATGTGTGCGTATAGTATGCCCTTGTCGGGTTATATGCGCGTCGAGGGTTCGCAGGCACACGCTGCGTTTTACAGAGAGGGTGAAAAGCTGCACGAGGGGGGAGTGAAATTAAGAGCGTGCGTGCGTAGGATGAACGTCGAGGCTCCTGCCGCTGTTACTGCTGTTACTGCTACTGCCGCACAGGATTCCCCTAGGATAGAGAGAGAAAGAGAGTGAGAGGATTGTACACGCAAGAAGAGTGAGAGAATTTTTCGAAAATGGAGAGGTAGTTTTAGCTCCGCACCACCGAGCTATCAGCCCTTCTGCAGCCCCAGAGTGGAAATGTTCTCTCTTTCTCTCTCTCTCTCTCTCTCCTTTTTACTGAGGGTCCTGATGGCTGTACATCATTGCCGAGTAGTAGTTATCGCAAATCTGTTTCACGCCGCTCTTCCGACCGACCCATTATTGTTATTATTTCCTCGCTTTCCTTCTACTTTTTTTTCGTTTTCATCATCATCGGTAAGATGAAATTGTTTCGACGGAGTAGTTACATCGACTCCCGATACCTTTCCGATTTGTTATTTCTGCCTCGAAGTTGATTTTTCGCAGAGATATAATGGAAATTATTGCTCGGGTTTGCTAGTAATACGAAAGTAGGCGCGCTTCGGGATTTGATATTTCGACCCTCTAGCACTGCCTCTGCCATCGGGTGAACATCGCTTTATAAAGAGGGGGAATATCTCAATAATTTTAACAAATAAGCGCCCGGGGCTTTGAATAAGTCCAACCCCGCTTTAAGCCTATATTTTAATGAACCTTTAATAGAATTTCTAGCGAGTAAATTATATTTTTAAATTATTTTTTTACCTATTGTCCGCAGCAGCTTTTCGGTTACAAATAACTTTTTTTTCCACAGCTTTATGAATTTTCTTTCTTTCAAAAGAATTCCCGGATTAAGTTTTTGGCATATTGTATGAGCAAATAATAAAAATGTTTAATGGAACTTTCAAAAGAAAAATAAAACCGAGTTGTAATTTATGAATGAAAAAAAAAAGCATGGAACTTGGCAACTTTGCACTGTGCTAGAAAACCTTGAGTTGTACAGTAGCGTTGCATTAGTAATTTTCCGCACGTCTCGATTGATTATTACAACTACATACGTTCGGAGTAGAGAACTTATAGACGCTCAGCTATAAGTGAACTTCAAATTTTCGTTCCCTACGAAAGGCGCGATGGGCGTTTTTCAACTGTTTCTTTTTTCATATTGTTGCTCGAATATGTGTGTCACTTCTCGAAAACAATTGCGCATTATTTCAGCGCCCCTGTATATGAACGAGGTCCCAAGCTTAGAACGTATACGAGAGAGGAGAAAAGAGTGAAAATGCACACAGCGGCACAATTAAAAGCTACGTGTATACACAGCGGCGTAGCATACATTATATGCAAGAACGAGAGTAAGAAAAGGGGATGAAAAAATTGTGTCGGATGACTGGCACAACGTGCATGTGTCTGTAGGTGTGTGTATACGTGTACGAGTATACCACGCGTGCAGAAGAAAATCGCGCACAAAGCGAGATTAACGGCGTGAGGGCAGGTACAACAGCAGCTTGGGATTCATGAAAGAAAATGAATGAAAAAAAAAAAAAAAAAAGAAAAACGAGATCGTCGCGCACAGTATACACACAGTATCCGAATGTCAACGAGATGTATTGTTCGCTCGAGGCCTACATTTAAACAAACGAAGCGTCCGCGCGTGTTATAATTGCGCGCGATATGTAATTATATCTGCGGTATATATACAGATACACTTGCGAGCGCGCGCGTGCTCGCGCGTCGAGGGATTGGAGCGAGCAAAATTTTGCCATAAATCCCCAGCAAAAGGAAGTGAAGAATTTTTATGTACACACGCGCGCGCGAAGGCTTGAATAAACGCCATCAATTCTCGAGCCTCTCGAATCAGGTGGAGAGAGAGAGAGAGAGAGAGAAAGAGACGAGCTATACGAGCTCGTGCGGTCCGCGCATAGCAGAACAAAGGGGAAAATACCCCTATAGCTAACAGCAGCATCAGTAGCAGACTGCTACTACTACCACTATTACTCTGTTGTATCTGCACGCTGTGACAATGGCGAAAACCGTGCAGACTCCCAAAGAAGATTATATTCCGCCGTGAATGGAGCTTGCGCGAGCTAGTGCCGCGTGTATATGTGTGCGCCACCGAGTAGTCATATTGTCTGCTGCTGGCTCGGGCTTTTTTTTCTTTATTATCTGACTCGTATCTCCCGTGGAACACGCCGTGCAGCGAGATTCAGCTACCATAAATTTGACGACGCTCGGTGCACTCATCCGCACGCGCGCGCCTGCTTATCAAAACTCATTAATTATTGTGCTTTTGAGATTACTGTACGCGCGTATACGCGACGTTCGCTCACGTGCTGCGCTTGCTCCTATACGTTTACGCACGTTTTATTATGACGACGACGACGACGACGACGGTGTCGGATAATAACAAACAACGAGGAAAAATCTTTCGAACGATCACGTGAGCGCGAGGCATCGATTAAACGCTAATCCCCGTACGTGTAATGACATACAAACACACATGGGCAGTAAAATAAAAAAATAAACAGCTATATACCGCAGCTGCGCTGCTAGGAATTTAAGTGCCCGGAGTAAATCGCGTGCCACTAAGTACGGTATACTATACTACTGCTATACTACTACGCGCTGCACGCGCATGGCACGCACAAAAAAAAAGACTGTTCAAAGCCCCATACAGCGGTAGCGAGTGTATGTAAGTCGAGCACATCTGCAGCTTGCAGAAAGTCTCGCTTTGCGAAGTGAAAACGTGTAGCTTTAACGAGCAATATATATGTACCGTGTGTACGTAGAGTTGTGCTGCTTTGAGCTGCGCCGGACAAAAACGACGACGACGACGACGACAAATCGGACGATGGGCTTAGTGTTAAGTCTCTAGCGAGTTGCAGCAGGGCCAATCCTTGGGTAGATTCTCGACGTCGACGAGAAAGCAGTCGACGCAGCCTCGACGCCACTCGTTCTCCGCATCGTTAGATTTCTCTCTCACACACTCGTCATCTCCCTTTTCTCTCTCTCTCTGTCTGTATTCTGCTGCTGCTGTAATCTGCACTCGATATGCAGTACCGTGCCTCGCACTCTACGCGGATTTTATGTATAACAACACAACGCAGGTACGACAGCGGCAAAAACTCGATGTGCGCGCGCGTCCGCGTGCTGCTGCTGCTGCTGCTGCCTCGCCGTCTGCTGCACACTACTGTACTGCTGCTTGAACCGAGAGGGTGCCTGCCTCAGCGCGACGACGACGCTGCGAGCGAGCGAGCGAGAGCGAAGCCGACTCCGGGTCAACGGAGCAGCTACGGGCCACGCGCAAGCGCCGAGGCAGTCACAGCAGCAGCATCGCATCCCCCGCGCGCCCCTATAGTAGTAAGTGGCTATAGCGAGGCGCGCTATGTGGGTGATTCCGTGCTAAGCGTCACCCCGCTCTCTGGCGTGCGTTGCCATATAGCGCGTGTTTTGTAAGGTGTTGCGCGAGCTATACCGTACACACGTATTATATGACAGCTAGACTACGATTTTCGGAGGGTCTCGAACTATATATTATGTGTGTGTATGTGCCTACGCGAGTTTAGGGAGCTATACTTGCGCGCGTATCTCTCGTCGGAGGCTCGCAGCAACCAGGGGGATGATGGCACGTTAGCGAGGATATTTCTCATTGAATGTTACGGCGCACACCGCGCGAGGGGATGTGTCGACACTCTCTCTCTCTCTCTCTCTCTCTTCTACGACAGCCCTGTCGGTAGCAGATGTGTTTTCTCTTGCCGAGCTTTAAGCTCGAGCTACCAATTGCTTATAGGTGTGCGCGACGACGACGACAACGATGGGAGAGAGAAGAGGCCTGTGCTTATACGACCTCGCATAACGCCGGCTTTTTACGAGCCATTTGCTCCGTACGCCAAAGTAGCCCGACGATGGTTACGCTGATGCCGGTGGACTTAAATTTATAATGTATTCGACCCTGCGCCTCTTGATTAAGAAATCTTCACCATCCCTGCAGCTCGTCCTATATGTAATTGCTCCAGTTTTTTTATTGCTTCTTTTTTATCCAAACTGCTTTACTGAATTTTTCATTTCATAGAGGAACTGCGTTCTGTGTTGCAAAATTAAATTACAAAGTCGGAAATAAACTTTTCTGTACACGAAACGTTTTTATCGAACAGTTGACACCGATGTAATCCACTTAACGTTAAAAAATCAAGCCAGCACGTCGAGAAGTATAGAGTCGAGAGAACACACAGACGACGACTGTAATATACGTTCGTTTGGGACATGGAGTCAACGTGCGCGCAAAGTCGCTTGGGAGAAATATCGGCCCGAAATGCTCGCGCCCCAAGGATTCGAGCATACACGACAAGTCACTCAATTTCTATCACTATCGCTTCGAGCCGATACCGTCTCGAAGGCTGCTTGCTCGGGCACATACGCTAACTCGGACGCTAGGGATAGGCTGAATGTCAAATATTTTACCACTAGGACTATAGGATGTGCATCTACGTTATGACATCGTTCGAGTTCTGTCATACGACTTGTGCCAGCGTAACGTTTAGTGCTCGTGCGAGTGATATAAAGCGTCGCATCGTCCTCGTCTACGATAATCCCTCACGACGTTAACATTTGACTGAGTAATTACGTCTGCGCTCGAGCTCGCACATAATGTCTTTGTCATGCTCCAAGTTTAAACGAGGTTCGCTTCGGCTTCGCTTTGCGACGACTCCTTAAGGTATATACGAGCGTCAAGACGATAAAAGCTTCGTCGAAACTATTAACGATCGGAGACGCAACGGGCTCGAGTCGTGCAAGCTCTATACGCTGCACGAGTAAGTGCGTTGTACGAAAGTACAATGGGAAAATTCGACTGCATCTTCGTAAATACGTCTGGAGCCCTCTCGACGTGGAAAACGTCCTGTACATACACATCTTTGTGTACGCGGGCGCGCGCACATTTCGCACGTGTGTGTCTCGGGGAGCTTTGGAAGGGAGATATTTTAAGTATATACACATATAGTCGAGTTGAAAGAGCCTGTACAGCTACATATATATCGGCAGAGGACAAAAGTGCAGGGGGGTTGACGCTCGGTGCGCATGCGGCATACGTATTTCAGTCAGTGACTGTGTGCTTGCACAACTACATGTATTGCAATTTTGCGCGAGTGGATGTACGCGACCACGTTTGACACGAGCACACCGCAACACGTATACTACAGACGCGCGCGCTCTAGCTCGAGCTCGCTTCGTCTATGCGCGCCGTACGTATTATATGCATGCTCCCCGCCCGCCGCTGCCGACGATGTTTATACTACTACTCTCTCTCTCTCTCTCCCGACTCTCTATGTATGAATTCTATATATGAAGTGGCCGCAAGGAGAAGCAGGAAAACATAAGAGAGACAGGAGCTGGTGCCGACTGCGATCGTGTTGCGTCCCGTGCATCATCCCCCCGCGCGCGCGCCCACTACATCGCTACCCGCAGCCGATACGCGATAGCAGCTTCTCGACGAGAGCGTCTCTCGTCTATCTGTACGCATATTTTTACGTAACCCTTGATATTGCGGATCGGTGTGGGTATACGCGTGGAGGTGGATATGAAACACGTCCATATATAAACCGAATTCCTTTCTGTATGCATATACGTTGTACGCCTTTACAGAACCGGTGCGGCAGAGTACAGAGTAGCAGTGCGGCTATACATGTATTATACCAACTCCCACGTACGTTATACGTATACACTTGACGCTTTCTCTCTCTCTCTCTCTCTCTCGACATGCGGCCTATACGTAACGGCTTTATGACGATCCGGCCGCTTATATTCCAGCGCGCGCTCCACCGCTCGTATAATGTAGTACAGCTGCAGCCTGTACACCTACACACGCACATGTACACGTGTATGTATTTATACACTTTCGACCAGCTCCGAGGGTAATGCTTCCTAATGGTGCATATATACATATGACGGCGCGTACTCTCTTTGCTATATGCATGAGCTTGCACCGCAGCCGCTTACTTTGTTATAAATTATTTAGCTGTAAACTCGTACATCCTGTAGCCCACGTTGAATATTGTATACAATCAAAGCCACTATACGTATAAAAATATCCTGCTAGTCGGGGAAAAAAGCTCGGATTTTATTTCCGTCGATCCTTTTCCTGATAGATGCTGTGCAGCGCATACATTGACGTAGATAATACCCAGACACAGTCGGAGTCAATCGGTAGTTTTACGAGCCGATCGCATCGGAATCAACGAGGGCAAATAGCGATAAACACGCAGTAGCCAGGTCGCGTGTGCGTACACATTTATATATCTATACGCGTATACCCGAGAGATATCCGACAATCTTATATGGATATAAACACAGACACCTCGAGCTTGCGCGCCGCCGCCAAAGCATACACACGCGATCAAGCCGATCAACGAGGCAGATTGACCGCGCACAGCGCGGCTTGCACACATACTCCCCGCCGCCGGATGTTTGCTCACGCAAAGCTTCGGCATCGATTACACGATTTTCCTCTAATCTAACGTGCAGCTCTCGAGCTCTAAATCAACATTCCTCTCGCAACTGTTCCATCCGTTCGTATGTATGTATGCGACGATCTGTGCGCGGCTAGATACGCCGCTAGGTCGAGACGTGTTTTTTTACCCTCGCGCGCGCGTCTATATTTGCCGTTCGGACCAACGGTCGCACAGTGATATTTGCAAGCGGTTTTGTATACATCCGGGTCGCTCTTATATTGTGACATTTACCCCCAGCGTGTTTTTCTTTTTTCTTTTCCACATAAAAACGAATATTATATACCCAGGGGCGCGTAGAAAAAGCGTGGATATTAGCCTAATAGATGCATCGCCTAGCACGGCCCATTTAATTTTCACAACGCGCGCCCGGTGTGACCGCGAAGAAAGGAAATGAAAAACGCGCCGCAACTGTTCTGCCTCGTGTACACTGTACAAGTGCTTATTATGCACGTGGTCCGCGAGGAAAAAATAAAAAAGAGAGGAGAAAATAGTAGAGAAGCCGCTCCGAGCTCGCAAAATTAAAAGCCAGTACGCGCGGGGCTAAACAGCGCGAACTTTTCTTCGGGTCATGCTCTGCGAAGCTCAAGCTCATATACATGGGAGAACGCGATGCGCACAATGGGGGTCTTTTTCAAAACGTTGTCGAAATGAAAACTCCCGTCGACCTGTGCGAGTGTGTGTGTGTGTATATGTGTTCCAAGCGAGGCAAAAGTTGGCTTTTGTGTCTACAAAAAGTTTTGGCTCGAACCCGTATAAGCCCCTCGACTTATTGTATGTACGCGAACATCGCCCGTTGCAACTTTTACAACGCGTGTACTATACACATTATTATATAAGCAGGGTCGTTTGAAACGCGCGGCTAATTTGAAGGAATATTTCCTTCGCACAATCGCGCTGTACTCGCAAATCGTGCGCCTTCAAAGACGTTCGCGGAGTGCCGGAGCTCGTCGCGACGAATCTCGGCTTTTCCAAGAGACTTTGCGCGACGTTCCGAAATTCGCCTCTCGTGGCGTGTGTAATTGTTGCCGCAGAATACGATTTACGATTCGAGTGGGAAAACTCTTTGAATACGCGAGCAGCTGAACGAGACGGCCCTTTCACCCGCTTCGAGAGATCTGATTTTGCAATTTTGCTAATTCTCTTCGTCGAGCGCTCTTTTGCTCTTGTGCTGCAGCTCTCTCGCTCTCATCCTTGGAAAAAGTGAAGCTCGTTAAAATCAATTGTCCAAGCGCTAAAATATCCAGCCACTCTCTTGTACACGCTTGCCGGAATAATCGATAATAAGCTCGGTGCGCAGTAGTGGCTCTTTTTTTCCCTCTCGTTACCATTTTTTTCAATCGAGCGCAACTTAGTGCCAGCTCTATACTCTGCAAATGCTTCCTGTAATCGCTTAAAAGCCCGGCGCGCAGTGAGCAGCGGGGCAATGTACCGAGTTTTCAACGCCCAGGTGGGAGGAAAAAAACTCGGCTTTCAGTGAGCGCGCGAGGAAAATAAAAAAAAAACGCTTCCAAAGTGAGAATTGGGCCAAAGACGTCATGTAGCTATATACGTAGAGAGATCGCGATACCCGATAAATTTATATATACCGAGCTCGGAGTTCGAGCTCATTGGCCCTTTCAGGCAGTTCACGAGCTGCGCCTTCACGAGCTTGCGGGTGATAAAACATCGACA